TTGAAAAAATTTCTTAAAAACCACAAAATGCACTAAAAATGCATTAAAGTCTTAAAAATGCAAAATAAATGTTACATTTTTTAATTATTTGATGTATGAAATGAACTATTTGCTTGGAAACCAACGTTTTCGGACATTCAGAAAAATATGCAATTTACATTCAAATCCGTTCCCTAATTATAATATACTATACACAGATGTCCAATGTATAAAAAGTGAACGGTCGYATGACACTATTGCAGTGTAGGATATAAAAAAAATATTGTGGCTTGGTATGCARTAGAAAAACTTGAAGTGAACCCCACCCCGACGTTTAATTTGAAAAACCCCCAAAAGGCTATTATTAGATGGTTACAGAATGGTACAAGAATATATTAAATATTCTATATTATGGTATGATTATTATACTAACAGCAAACTCATGTTATTACTTCAAATGCAAGTAAAATCGAAGTGATTTAAAAAAAAAAAAAAAATGTTTTTATTATTATAATAATATATATATAATAACGCCGCAAAAGGACCCTGAAAATCCCCAAAAAACCGCTTATGAAGTTTGAAGTGAAATGAAAATACTTTCATTTGATTATTTTATACAATTAAATACTTATATTATTTTGTATTTTTTTTTTTCAACAACAATACAACATAATATTCTAWATGTAAGCATTTCAATAAAATATTACAAACAAGTAATCGGCTTTTACAACTTACAAGTACCATAAAAATSTTTGGATGACTACTTATACTTAATAAAAACTTTAAACATAATATATTATATATTCACAAATACACAATACATAATAATATATGCAAAACCTGTAATATAAATGTATACATGTTAATATTTTTATTTTAAGAACAGTTTGTAATAACTATTAACTCCTTATTTTAGCATTGTGAAATTAATTCTAATTAATTATACRTAGGGTATGTTAAAATGTCAAACGTTCTGAAAAATCAATTTTTTAAATAAAATATAAATAAACAATACATTGTATATTAAAATATATAGATATATTTTATTATTATACAGAAAAATTTATGTCAATATCTGAGCATTTATTTTAAGTTCAGAATCGACAATAATATAATATCACAAAATATGTACATATTTTGTAGGTTTTATTTTAAATCTTATTAYATTCAAAACATTTTACTTCACTTTATTAAATTATTTTGATATTATAAAATTATGTTTTTATCTGAATACGTCAAAAATAGTGCTATCATTCTAGCCACCAAAGTGGTAAATTATTAGACTTCGTTTTTACTGTAGATCATTCAAGAAACGTAGTAAAAACAATAACAACAACTCATATTTATTAGACAAACGCATATCATGGAATAAAAACATATACTGTTGGTATAATATTGTGTCACTGAACAACGGAGTTTAGGTTATTTTGCTTATAAAGTACGTGACGCGTGTAAGTTTTAATTTGAAAACATATATTCAGGGATCACGACAAAAGATCTGTTTTCTTTATACATCCCATGCGGCGTAGCGACGTAACGTAAGTAGAGAATTTCGCTTCCGATTTCCAAAACAGCGCTGCCTTTGTGCAGTTTATCTTCGGGTGTACAGACTCTCTCGAATATTTTAAAACATTATTACAATTATTACTATGGTTTTGGATACTACACTTTGCCTTTTGTTTTCGCGTTTCATTCTCCAGACAGTSTTTTTCTTAATAAAATATTTTTACTGATATATTTTCTAATTATTCGTTTTTCTTCATCAACTAAGAAAACGATTTAATCATAGTGTAATTGTTGCCCGAATGTAAAAGCTTTTCTCAATTAAACATTCTATCAATAACAAAATGTTTTTTAACCCTAAATGAAAATAATTGTTTTTTAGCATTTATTTTAAAACCAATCCCATTAATGAAATATTAATATTAACACTATATATTAAAAAATAGATTAATCCTTGTTACCAATTTACCATTATAGTATTAGGAAAACGTGTTTTGTTGTAAATAAATAAAATTAAAATTCATAATTTGTGATTACCGTTTTACATTTCCATTCTGACATGTCATTGTGTTCATGTTATTTTGTTTTTCTGTCTTTCTGCCTTATATAGTTGATATATTTTAGTGTTCTATTTATTTTTAATATATTTTTAGTATGTAACCTGAAAATTACTTGACCGAAACCGGCGGTTACGGTTAAAATAGTAAGTTATATTCTTTGTGCTGTGAATTTTTAATAATAATTATTTGCAATATGACTTTTGGGCAAAAAACAACACTGTTATAATTTACAATTTCTGTAGACGACAAGGGCACTTAGCTCAATACACTGTTAAAATTAAAACCAACGATATCATTTTGTTAAATTAGAAATATGAATATTTCAATAAACTCTTGTACAAATAACGTGAGTACATCACAGYGCCTCGCATTCGGCTCCCTGGCATTAAATGAATCGTACAAAATAAATATGCCATCATTTTGCAAGTAACTTTCTAGTATTTGTTACTCCGTTCTCAGAATTGTACAACTTCATGGTAATACTTCGTTGTAATATAACTAATAACTATATATAACTATGTGCTTATTAGCAGTCGGAAAACTGAATAAAATTCGCTTTCTTGTATATAACTCAGAATAGATAATAAAATTATACTATACCATTCGAGTTGAATCGAATCCATGCATGCGAATCCTTATTATACGTAGATGGTTTTTTTTATTTTATTTTTTTATTATTAGTTTTTAACAGGGAGTTATTATATTTATTGCAGGTACATAGTTAATTTCCTATAGTCAAAATTCAATAGCGAACGCAAATAACCTTAAGATATTATAGTCGATGGATTTTCTGTTTGTCACGTATTAACGTATTACAAACAATAAAAACAAAAAAAAAAAAATAGTGGAGTATAATAATAATGATAATAAAAGTAAACTATAATATGAATAAAAAATAAAAACAAACAAACAAAACGTTTTGCGCATCATAATTTATTATTAGGTATCTAAAAATTAAACGGTTTCATGTGACGGATAGCTTTGTCATTTTTTGCAGACTTTGCGATCACGTTTGATCCGTAAAACMATTGGATTAACGCGTCGACGTGGTTACCGAACGGACACTACTATTTTAATCGTCTAACAAACATAAATTTATACTATCGAGTAAACGATAACACAATATTCGTATAGTGGTTCAGGTTATGGAGGTGGCACCCTCAGAAGATATACTGTTTCATATTATATATAGGTAGGTACCTATACTTTACGTGCTCGTAAAATTATATGATATTATCTAGATAAAATTTTATACCACATATTATTTTATGTAAAATCGTATATTATTATGTTAGTATTCCGTATTCAGTATTCAACAGTGCCTACAAAACTCTATATGTCGGTGGCTAATCACTTATTTAATATAGCTACGAACGATTATCTATACTTATACGAATTATACATAATATGGGTGCACATCTTGAGTCTGGGCCCTCGCTAATATTTGATTACTAGACCAGCCCCTGAATTTTTTGGTAATGCGACGATGATCACGATCTCGATATCAATAATAATAATAATAATAATAATAATAATGATAGCAATAGATATAACAAAAACAGTATAAATAATACAACGTATGTGACGCTACAGCAGAATCTTAACAATAATAGTATTACATATTATAATATATTAGGACGATACGAGTCACACTGTCAGTCTCGCCACTCGCTTGCAAAACAGCTGTGGCCATCGTCACCATCATTGTCGTGTTCCTCAGCTAGGGTTGATCAGMGGGCAACGTTTGGCTCAGACCACATCCGGATAGAAGTCAGTGTCTTGAAACACCGTCTGTGGTTCACCCGTCAGTCTGTCCACGGACGACGCCAGACACCTGTAAAGGCCCTTGTCCAGGGGCGTCACGTCGTGGAAATGCAACGTGCTGCCTTTGGGCCTCAGGTGCATGTCGTACGTCTGCACCTCGCCCATTCGCCTCATGGCCATCTCTTTGTCCGCTTTGCCCGGGTCCACTCGTTCCCAAACGATGTTCTGCAAACCGATAAATTCGAAATTATACACCTTAAACCTGCAGCACGATTACACGTCGTTATGAATAAGATATATAAGGTCTGAGAGGGAAGACAGTGCGTGACCAAACCACAATCTGTGCAGAAGAATCCAACCCTCATCGGATGAATAATATGATTTTGTAAACGAATTCGGTGTGTGAGCTTTTATATTTGATTTATGCAAGACACCATAGAGCAAAAATTTTAAGACTCAAAAGTCCATGAACAAATACGACGGGATTAAAGTGATGTGACCTTAACTGCACAATCTCCTTAAAACGTCATCTACACGTCGATTCCGACAAGTGTTGACGACTCGAAATTATGGGTCTTGTATATTATTTTCTCGGATAGGTCTAACACACATTTTAGACTTACCAACTTCCTAGTTCTGATCAATAATTATAGAAAATTTAATATAAACATAAATTAGGGCTGATTTCGAGATTACGAACGCTACTGGCGTAGTGACTATATTGTGTTCAATAATACTATAATGCTTGAGTACACAGACTTACTCGTATATTATACTGATTTATGGCAGATTCGATGGATCGCTATATTAAATAATATACACCG